AGACCATAACACTAAGTGAAATAAATCAGGAAACAGAAGCTAAATATTGCATGATTGCTTTAATATGAGAGACCAAAAATGTAAGTAATTAAAAGAGCAAAATAACCAAGATATGGTAAGAAACAGGAAAGTAGACTCTGTGGAGATGGGAAAGGGATCTGGAAAAGGATGCTGAGAGAAGGGTGGGAGGACATATCGGGGAGTAAAAATGGTCAAGATGCATATTACCAAGTCCTCAAGATGAGTGTAATTACTATGTATCACAAACATTAAAGAAGAAAATATAGCTGTACCTAAATTTGTTAACTGGAGTGCCCTTTTTGCATGGAAATTGCTTCTCTTTTTTTTGCATTTTTTTATTTCTAAGAGAAAAAAAAAACCACAGAAAAAAAAACAAAGAACAAAAGAGAAAAACAAGCAACAACTGCCATAACAGTAACAGTATAGGCTTTCAAAACAAAATAATAAAGGATCAGGAATTTAGCTCAGCACAAGCAATTGCCTGGCAAGTGTGAGGTTGTGAATTCAATCCCCACCCCCTGTACCAAAACAAAGAAGAAATGAAGGTGATAGAAATTTAACACTGGTTGTTATATTGCATATTGTTATCTTCAAAAGAGTTATTTAGATTACCAGATATAGACCTACAAAAATGATCAAATCCTATGAGTACTAACCGTTCTTTTCCAAGAACTAATAGAATTAATAGTATAATAATTTTAAGTATTTTATATGTACAAATTTATTTTTCCTTTTCTTTTTCCCTTTCTTCTTTTTTTCTTTCTACTTCCCAGTTATTTTTCCCTTTTGAGCAGTTTCCTGCACTTTCACAGTATCTATTATAGATTTTTGGATCTTATTTATGCTTTCAGTTTCTCACACTAGGGAGAAAATATGGTATTTATACATGTAAGTCTGATTTATTTCACTTATTAGTATGGCCTCAAGTCACATCTATTTACCTATAAAATCCTTGATGTGATTATTCTTTATAGCTGAGTAGTACTTTATTATATAAAAATACCACATCTTTTTTATCCATTCCTCAGTTGATGGGCATTTAGGTTGTTTCCAAGATCTGGCTGTTACAAATTGTGCTATTGTGTTATAACCACACATATATCACTGTGGTATGTGTTTTTAATTCTTCTGGGAAAATGTCCAGCAGTGGTACAGCAGGGTCAAATGGGTCAAGTGGTACATCTGGGTCTAATCCTAGTTTTTTAGGAACCTCCACACTGACTTCCACAGTGGTTGCACCAGTCTACACTCCTATCAACAGTGGAGGAGAGTTCCTTTTCCCCCACAGTCCTTCCAGCATTTGTTATTGATTGATCTCTTGGTCTTGGCCATTCTTTCTGGAGTGAGGTAGAATCTTAGCATTGTTTTAATTTGCATTTCTCTAATGACCAATGATGATTAACATTTTTTCATATATTTATTTGCCATTTGTATCTCTTAATCTGAGAATTATGTATTCATTTCAGATGCTTATTTTTAGATTGGGTCTTTGAATTTGGGGCCTGATTTTTTAAAAAAAGTCTTTATATATTGTAGATAGTAATCCTTTGTTTGAGGGACAATTAGCCAAGATTTTTTCCCCTAAAATGTGAGTTTTCTTTTCAGTCTGTTGGAGATTTTGTTTCATGTGCAAAAGCTTTTTAATAAGATGAGATTCCAATTGTTGATTCTGGGAAATATTTCCCATACAGTTTGATTTTTGTTCATGTACTCTCTGTCTACCCCAATGTCTTTAAGATTTCTTTCAACTTTGTCTTCCAGCAGATTTACTATTTCTGTTTTAGTATTTCGATCTTTAATCTATTTTGACTTTACTTTAGTGCATGGTGATAGGCATGGTTCTGATTTAAGTCTTCATCATGTAGAAAGCCAGTTTTTCCAGCACCACTTATTAAAGAGGCTGTCTTTCTTCCAGTGAATGTGTTTGGCCCCTTTGTCAAAGATAAGGAAGTTGAATGTGTTTGTAGTGGCTGTTTCTTCTAAATTGCTCCATTGATCTTCAGGTCTGTTTTTACGCTAGTACCACACTGATTTTATCACAGTAGCTTTGTAATATAATTTCAAGTTAGTGATTGTGATGCCTTGCATGGAAATACTTCTTTCATCTTGCTTTTGGAGGCACTTACTGTATAAAAATAATACATCTGTCTCCAGGAGTATGAAGCATAAACAGGAAGTACAGGAAAGGTGTGCCAGTAATTTGCTTTCAGAGTGCAAGAACCCAAGGTTTGTTCCCGGGTGTCTGCAGCTTCCTGGCAGTGTGTCTGCCCTGGAGAATCAGGAGACTCTAACTTCTCCAGACTGAAAGCAAAGACCTCTGCTGCTTGATGTTTGGTTAGAGGGTAAGGGATGATTGCAGAGAGGCTTTTAATCAGTATTGCTGGGTGTTCTATGTTTCCATTGTCCTTTACTTCGGGCACACCTGAAACTTTTCAACGTGAAAAAATAAAACAAAATTTCATAGCAAAATAATAAGAGAAGAACAATACTTAATATACCATTTATCATTGTATTCAAAGTAGTTATTCAGAGCATAAGACATGGACCAATAATATTTCTACAAAGAAGAAACAGATAACACAAACCTTTCTTTTCAATGAACTAGACAAACTAGGGTGCAAATGAAAGAAACCATAGCAGTCTTTCCTCTACATATGTTTCGGGTTATGATTTCCTCTATTGGTGTAATTTTTTTCTGTTTTCTGAGATTCCTCATGTCTCATCTTCCGATGGAGCATATCCTTTCTTTCTTTCTTTTCTTTTTTTATCCTGATACTACTTTTAAAAAATGTGCTTTCTGTGATTTATAGGAATTGAATTAGGAAGAAGATATTGGCATTTGTGCTCAGTCCATTACTGGTTAAACCTGCCTTCTATATTTTTATTTCCCTGCCATTTTTTCCTTCTTTCTTTCAGTTATTTCTTCTTTCGTTCACCCTATAGTAGCAAATCTCTTTCAGGCTTGGTGGTAAGTGGCTTTCAAGAAGATGATGCTATGGCCTGTAAATAAAAGGGTCCAAATCTTCTCTCATTTTTTTCTAGCAAAAATGGGCTGCTATTTTCATAACTTTGAAGCTATATTTCTTAGCTTACTTTAAAGTTGTAGCATTTGATGATCAAATAAACAGAGCAAACTAAACCATGTCTTGGCCTCAATCACCTAGTGCTAGCCGTAAGAGTGCTACCTAAATAACTCTTCTTTCCATACCCTCCCCTTCCCCTGCCTTTTTGAGACAGGGTCTTGCTATGTAGTTCAGGCTGGGCTTGAACTCACTATGTGACCCAGGATGCTCTTAACTTCAATGAGCCCTGTGTCTCAGCTTCCCAACTGGTGGGATTACAGGTGTGTGCCACTATGCCCAGCTTGATGGCTCTTTGAATCTGTCTGCATACTCTGTATCTACCCTAGTTTTGACCCTTGTAATCTTTAACAGAACTTGTCCGGCTGCTGGCTTAGTGCTTGATCCCTAATAAATGTTCCTAACATTTGCCTTGTTGAATGAATGATCTAAGACCCTTAAGTCTCTCTCACTCCAGTGCATCCTTCATACGCCTGCCAATAGAACTCAGTTCTAATTATATTGGAAACCTTTAGAGTCTCTTACTTATTTAATGTGAAAGACCTTAGGCCTAATATTCCTACAGATTATTTTATTAAGAAGTTTATATAAGTAGTGGTAACAGCCACAGACAAAAATACATTTTCAACACAAATGTAATAATTTTGCTAGGAAAGCAGCACAGTAAGTTTTTGATACTATGTATTGAAACCAGGGGCTTCACAATGAGCTACATTCCCAGTTCTTTATTTTTTATTTTGAAAGAAGGTCTTGCTATTTTGCTATGTTGCCAAAGCTGGGTTTTAACTTATGATCGTTCTGCATCAGCCTACTAGAGTGTTGGGGTTATAGGCATGATTACTGTGCTGAACTCAGAACAGCAATTTTCATAGCAACCAGAGAGTAGGAAATACCAAGTAGAAGTTATACAAACTGGTTGTTTAGGATAGCAAGTGAATAAAAGAGCAAATTGGTACAATATGTACAGTAAAGGTACTTCTGAGTTTTGACTCACAAATCAATAAAATTTCAAACTGAAAATATAGATTCACTGAGATGGACTATCATGGTCATAGAGGATCAAATAAGCTTTTTGAAGTTTGTGTGTGAAACAATAGAAAATTACTTTTGATGGTGATCAATATATACACTATTCTCTTAGTCTCAAATATCCCATGCTGCCCCTTGCATAGGTCCCGTGCTTCTCTGGGAGGATTCCTGTGCACGATGCCTGTGTTTCAGGGCAATGGATGATCAGTTTGTGTGATCACACAATGTCTTGGAGTCAAGCCATTGAGTATTAGAGAAGTATTTCAAAACTCTTGAAATGTAAGTATTCTAAAACCAAATGAAACGTATAAATTAAATAAGGGGGCTGACGACTCCTGAAGAACTGAGATGAAGCTGGTGTCAGGAGGCACAAAAAATGTGATTGAGGCTTCATCAACCTCTCCTCTCCATGTGGGAGTGGAGAGTGGTGGGAGAGAACTTTTAGGCTTAATGATTTAGTATTACTTCACTTTTTAAATTCTATTATCCGTGTTGAAGGTTGTGAGAAGTTGGGTCAGATAGATAATAGAAAACCCATTATTAAATTTAATAAGAGAGAGCTGTTCACTTACGTTGGTTTTTTTGAGTGGTGGAGCCTAAATTTCATGGGCTGAAGAGGAAACAAGAGATGGAAAAAATGAGCTGGGGGCGGTAGTATATTCCAGTAATCCCCGCATTTAGGAAGGTTGATGCAGGAGGACTGCATGTTTGTCTTCCCTGGGCAACTTAGCAAGACCCTGTTGAAAAAAAAGACCTGGGGATGTTGCCCAGTATTAGAGTGCCTGGATACAATCCCCAGTAACACAAACACTTGTGTGCACACACAAGCATGAGCACACATGAGGATGTAGAAAAGGAGGTTATAATTACCTTTCTTCTTTCCTTTACTCCTCTTTTTCTTTCTTCTTTTTCTAAAATATTAAATAAAGTATTATTATTTTGGGGAATGACTGAGTAAAAGATGCAGCAGAAATCAATGCAGAACAGAGACAGTATCTACAGGAGCAGAATTCTCCATTTACCGTGGAGGTCTGGGATCTCCTGCAGAAGTGAAAAGTCAGCCTGTGCAGTGGGGCAGGCGGAAAGGCTGGTAGATTTTGTGGTGTGAGATTGTAGAAGGATATCTGTCAGGATGTGAAAACAGAAAGTTATTAGTGACTTAATGAGAGAGAAGATTATTTCTCCTTTAAGTGAACGCTCAGGTAGGCAGTCTAGGGCTGATTCAGTGGCTCCAAAATAAATTATCAATCTATCTTGTCACTGTGCTAACCTTACCATGTGGCTTATACTTTGTCTAAAGGTTCTGCTGTCTTCTGGTACCCAGCCTGTGTACCAGCCACAGGGAAAAAAAGTGGAAGGGAAGGCACATATCTTCCCTTTATATGAGCAACCTAGGGATTGCCCCTGTTCTGTTCACATCTCACTGACTAGACGTTAACTACATCATCACTTCTAGCTGCAGAGGAGGCTGGGAAATCTAGTGCTTGGCAGTGTGACCATCTGTCCAGCTACAAACACTATTCTTGTAAGGGAAGTTATAATGGGTACGAGAGAGTGGACTGGAACAAGGATTCAGTAGTTCCTTTCTGGTTACTTCTAATTTCTCTTTGGGAGAAGTTAATTGGGCACAAAGTTTATTTGATAAGTGTAGCAAAGGATTTGATCTTGGGGGCTTTAAGACAAAAGAGAAGCAGCAAAGCAGTCATCTGAGAAAGTGAGTTAAGCATGGAACTGTGGCAGAATTGCCAGGCAGTGTGGAGTGACAAATTGAATTTTGTGAACAAAGGAAACCGATGCGCATCATCCTGTTTCCTTTTTGAAACTTCACCAACTTGGAAAGTAGAGAGTCAGAGTTTGAGGGTATGTTTCTGATTAGGTATGTGATTCACTGGATCAAAGATCTCCTAATAAGTACACTGAATTGGCTAAGAAGCCAATTCTTGACTCAGGGAATGGTGCATTTGTTTTCCTCATTTCCCAAACTGCAAACAAGCAGTTTTTGAAGGGATCAGTGTTGATGTCCATCTCTATGAGCTGAGAGCTTTCCTCTGCCTGATTCCTCAGCCTGGGCTGGAGTAGTCATGGAACATGCATCTGTCATATACACACAGATGGCCACTTGTCTGTTAAGTGAAAATATTCCATTATTTTCCCAGGATAGATAGCCGAAGAGCAGCCTTGGGAAGCTTCTTTATTTTTCCTGTCACAAAGAATTGGAGATTCGGTAGTCACACGAGTTTGTAATAAATAACCCACATTGATTTCTCTGTTCCGGAATGGTCTTGCTTCCCTTTTGCCCAGAGTCCTGACATTTGCCCCAAGAGACAATGTTAGAAAATCATTTATAAAATGGCAGACCCCACTCTGTTGTGGATATAAATCTAGGTAATATGAGGTACTTCTGAGGCAAGGGATCTAGGATTTTTAGCTAGAGAATTTTGGAATAAAGACACTTGTGAGTCCAGATTGTAGTAACATAGGAAGAAGAAAGTGACCATGGCGAAGCTGCTGTTGTATTTCCTGCTCTTAACCAGTCTTTCTGATGTGTTTGGCGGGACAGGTAGGGGCTATCCTAAGCTAACCCAGAGATTTGATCTGAGGGATAGGGTTTGGATTTAAGATTATATAAACTGAATTCAGTGGAACATCTGACATTGTGTGTGTGTGTGTGTGTGTGTGTGTGTGTATGTATGTGTGAATGTGTGTGCGCGTGACTGTGTGTGTAACCAGGGAAGGGCTCAGTTGGTTTGATGCCAACCTATTTTTAAGTGAGGTACGGATCTTTGTGATCTGAGAAACTTCTCTTCTCTGTCCCACAGACATGTCTAAGAAGACTTTTGTGTTTCCTAAAGAGACGGATAACTCCTATGTGTCTCTGAAAGCACAGTTGAAGAAGCCACTGAGTGCCTTCACTGTGTGCCTCCATATCTACACTGAACTGTTTATGACGCGTGGATACAGCATTTTCTCTTATGCCACCGAGAAAGAAGCTAATGAGATCCTCATATTTTGGTCTAAAGATAGAGGATATATTCTTGGAGTGGGTGGGATTGAAATGCCTTTCAAGGCTCCTGAAATTCCCAGTGCTCCAGTACACATTTGTACCAGCTGGGAGTCTGTCTCAGGGATCATAGAGCTGTGGGTAGATGGGAAAGCCCAGGTGAGGAAGAGTCTGCAGAAAGGGTACTTTGTGGGTACAGAGGCAATGATTATCCTTGGGCAGGATCAGGATTCATTTGGTGGGAGTTTTGATGCAAACCAGTCTTTCGTGGGAGACATTGGAGATGTGAACATGTGGGACTTTGTTCTGTCACCTAAGGAGATTGACATGGTGTATTCCGGTGGGACCTTCAGTCCTAATGTGCTGAGCTGGCGATCGCTGACATATGAGACACACGGTGAAGTCTTCATCAAGCCCCAGCTGTGGCCCTGAGGTCCTTCTGTGGATCCTCAGGTGCCTCCTGCAGATTATACCTCCTCTGGCTATACCTCTAGATCTCTGGCTATGGACTTTCTCCCTATACACCTTGCAGGTTTACTTTACAATTGGAATCATATACCATCCTCAGCTGCACACAATGGGGTTTATGTGTCTGGTTTGGGACCTTGTGAACTATGTTGAAATGTTTTGCTAATATATTTAATTTTTTAATTAAAAGGATTTTAGAGATAACTTCTCAGCCTCATATAAAAGAGAACTGGCATTCAGACTAAAGGAAAATTTTTAAAATTTGCAAAGCAAGTACATCACTGAGATGGGAAATGCATGCTGGTATTCTAACTAATTCTCTGGCCAGGACATCTCAGAAAGTAGAAGAGACTTACCTATATCTAAGGGATTGTTCTCTCTCAGAATTAGGCCACGGGATGAGGTCTCCATTCAGAGTGTGGAGAGCTTATCACTGTATCGTGGGGCTCAGGTCTTCAGAAATGGGAAACCTGCAATATTGTTGCTTTTCCTCCACTTCCTCAGAGTGCTCTAGGAAGGCAATCAAAGTTGTCCTATCAGAGAGAGCCTGTCTCCCCGCCCCCTGTAGGCAAAGTTAGGGATAGAGGTACAGTTAGTTAACTTTATCTTACTGCCTGGGTGTTACATAATAATGGTTTATTTGTTACAGCATTTTCTTAGTTGTATGGTTCTTCTGGGAAGCTCTTCTCCCAGTCCATGAGTGGGGACTTCCTCCTCCACTTCCACATTCCCAGCTTCCCCAGGCTGTAGGAATGGACACATCACCCAAGCTATCTTCCCATAGCATCATCTTCCCACCTCCCGTGGGGACTGTTTCCCTTTCCAAGCTGGACAGACTGCAGTCTTCCCAAGGACTGAGTCATAGACTTTGTGGGAGATCATTATCTTTCTGTTGGAATTCCAAACAGAGGATGTAAACCTGGTACCACCTTTACCCATCTTGTTTGTCGCATGGAAAGAGATGTTGAGAAAAGAGGTCACTCTGGGGTTTGAACAGCTGAGAAGTCAATGGAGTGAGTGATGGAGCTTTGACCACTTTGAGTCTCTGAATCATAGAGTCTGGAAAAAATTTACACTTGAACTTTCCAGGTCCATGAACAAATAAAGTTTTTTTTTTTTTTTTTTTTTTTTTACTTGAATGAATTTGAGCTGTTTTCTGAGGATTGCGTTAGAAGTTGTCAAGGTTTCTCTAATAACCTTCTGAAATCAAGGTCCTGTGAGTTCAGACTGACTATTATTATCCTGCAAGAACACATCCATGGCACTCTTACCTTTCCTAGAGTTTCCTGCAGGGGTTCTCTCTGACCAGCAAAGCTGGACACACACGAGGTTTTATTGTCTCATTCTGTCAGTACTACAGCTGAGCAACAACAATGAAAGATCATTGAGATCCACGAATCTGCTGTCAGGTACAATGCTGGAATGCATTTGCTTTGTCTGCTTGGCTCCCTTACAGAAACAGATCCCTCAGGAATAATGGCTGCTGGTGTCCTCCAGAGGCATCCTGTATGATGCTCTTTCAGAAATAAATGAACAATTGAAGTTATCTATACAAGCCACAGTCACTAATGAAATATAGTGTTCCCTGCACATCAAGTCATTACTTTGGGAAAGGGATATAGTAGAATAGTGGCTTTATAATTTAACAGTTATGTGACCTTGTGCAACACAACCTCTTTGTCTAAGTTTTCTCATCTGCAAAGCAGGAAAAGTAATAGCAATCAACTCAAAGGGCAGTTTTAAGAGTCAAAAAAGATCATGCATGTATGGAATTCAGTACAGTGATTCCCAGATAGTCAGCTCTCATTATGGCTCCATTAGTCTGTTTTGTATTCTGTGTCAGAACCTTATACACAACAAAAGTATAACTTGGTAGAATTTGTCTGGATTGACAACAATTGGAGCATCTGATTTGCTAAAAATTAAGTACAGAATATTAGGAGGATGAACAGAAAATCTTTGAAGTAATTATTTATGAATATTGATTTCCCTAATTGACTTGTGATAACCATTTGGAAGCACAGAAGATAAGGAGAAACATTCTTGGGCAAAAACGTGAGTGCAGCTATTCTCTACTGTCCAATTAGGGCAGATCTGTATACCCTGACACTCAGCTAAGCATAAGAGAGGCTTGATACTATTTTCTAGTTAAAGAATTTGGTCAGGAGATATGTCTTAATTATCGAAGGCCACCCCAACTCCCTAGGGATACAGGCCGAGCTAATATTTTTATCAGAATTCAATTATGGCTACCTTAGTACCCATTCTCTAGTGGACAGCCTCTGGCTCTAATAATTTTAGTCAGGAAGATTTTAACAGCTGGTACTTGCATTCAGTGAACACTGGAAAATCTTCATAAAGTATTCCTAGAATGTTTAAATTTGAGCAGTTCAGCTTACTGGCACATACTTCAATGTAATTTTATTGGAAAAATGCATTCTTAGGTGACTGATGAATTGTCAGTCAATATAGAGCTGTTAGATGTAATCTAATTAAGTTCTGGGTGCATCCACCAAAGTGGATGATTTTTGTAGGGGCATGTTGGTGCTAAGTCTTTTCCTGGGGAGGGGGACAGGAGTAAATAGGGAATAAGGTCAGCCCTCCACCGAGGTCCCATATAGTTGATACTGATAAAGCCATGTCTCCGGCACTGCTTTTCCCAGGGATCATGTGTTTAGTTTGCTCAGAAGTAGAATCAGGCATTAAGGCACAAGTTAGAAAGACTGAGGGCCAAATGATAGTAAAACCTATTATAAAAATGAAAAGGGGAAGGGGCAAATTGAGGACATAGATCAATCTATGGATCTGAGAGTCTGTGGCTTGCTTCCTGATAGGACCTGGTTCAAATATGAATACTTCAGCAGGAGATGAAGCATGAGATGGTGATGTGCAAATCGCAAATGTAAATTCTTAAATCATTCACCGGGCAAGATACCGTGATATTCTCTAGTGGTAAGTGGTCATGAAGCAGAAAGGTCAAAGCTGGACTTTAGGTAGAGCCAGATGAGAAGATGGGATCTCATCTCTCTGGTAAGACCTGGTCTGTCTTGGGCTTGAAGGACAGACTAAGGACCACCTCAGGTGTGCCCGTATAGTCTCACTTAAAAAACTGAGTAAATTTATTAGCCCCATGAATTCCCCCTTCCGTACTTTTCTTTATCAAGTTTGATGCATCCTCGGAAAGCAGAGACCAACAAAGAAAGCAAGTTTCTCCAGATCATTAAACAACAAATAACAATATGACATTCAACTCCAGTTTCCAAATATAGATTTCTGATCCCCAGAACCCCTGAGAAAGAAAAATGGAAATGCCACTTGGATTTATTTGCTTTATTCTGAGATAATTACCCTTTTGTCTCAGATGAGCTGGGTGACCTGCCCAGATTCCTTCTCTTCAGTTCCCTGTCTCTATCTTATCTGTACCTCTTTTCATTCTTCTTGTAATGGAAAGTGGGTTAAGTGAGGGCTCACTCTTTTCCTGTGGGAAATGCAGACTCTTAGTTCAGTTCCCTTCAATGGCCTGACCCAGTGATATATTATGGTCTGTTGATATAAACATCCTTATCCCTGGGGTGTTGATCAACAGTATAGATTCATTGACTCCAGAACTACTAGGTCAGATTTGCTGGAGACAGAACCCAGGAATATGTAGGATCATAAGCTCTTCTGTCCAACATGCTTGTTAGAGCTATCGAGTTAGAATTTCTCTGTTTTATGTCTTATCTGAGGGACATGCCTGGTTCCCAGTAAGCTTGAAGCTTGTTAGTCATCTAAAGAAGGATTTAGTACATTAGACACTGAGTATCTGGGACATTCTCTGAGGACTCACTCAGTGGGTCCCATCTACCCCATGTCCTTTTACATACACTGATAAGCGACCTCATAAGGTTTTCTTGCTGTTACAGTGCTCTTCTCATGGTTTGGGGGAGTATAACAAAACTCTGTTTCAACTCTGGAGTTTAGAGGTGTCGTTGCTTTAGGATTAAAGTGACAGCCCTGTATTTAGCAAGTTATTTATTCAAGTAAGCCACACTATGATAACAAACATCTTGCTTGAGTCAGAGTGCTTTTCTTCTTTCTGGAATCATTAATTTGGGTTTTGCAACTTGGGATGTTTGATCTACTGGGGCTCTAAGTCAGGGAGAACCAAAGTGCAAAGGTGTCTAAAGAAGCTGAGAATCTTAAGGATTTTTATTGGAGTGTCACCAGCCCTAAGAGGAAAAGAAGAGAGGATCTTCATGTAACCTATCTGAGAGAAGGGTATGGTTGAATTGTAGGCTGACTTATTATACCCTGGTCTCTGTGATGTGATGTAGCAGTTATACAGCCATGTTGGCAGCTTGATAGAACAAAGGGTGGATTGCGAACTGGTCCACTGGGCAAGTCTCTCAATTTCTCCCTTCTCCCCGCTCTCCCTTGTGCTCTTTTCTCCTTTCTTCTCTCTTCTCTTTTTCTCTCCTCTGTTTCTTATTCTTTTCAATTTTAAGACATTCAGAATATTCATTTTGAAGACAGTTAATATAGCGAGTGCTGTGAAACCAGTAACATTTTCAGTGGCCACCCCTCATTTTGCTAGCTGTATTCATCTGACTCACCTGTGGAGCCCGGATGTTAACAAGAAGCAATTTTGGTTTTGTGAAAACACCACTCATCAGATTAAATATTTCACCCTACCATTTAAATTATACATGTGTCTTTTATTGGGAAAATGGTTAGAAGGAGAAGATAAATGTGTTTTAAATTTGTTATGTTATGCCAGTTTATATATTTAAAACCAGATGCAAGAAGTTTGGAGAAAAAATAAAAGAAAATTTAACATGTATCATTAAAAAACAAACCATTCTATAAATGTCTTACCAGTCATAGGTCTTTTTTTCCTTGTAGGATATGCTATCTACATCTGAGTTGATTCTTCTTATCAATGGAGAAATAACCTCTTTTATCAATTTCTCACTGAACATGAATGGGAAAACTCATGAATAAGCTCAAGATTTTTAATATGAAATTAAAATGTTTTATGTAGAAATTTATATATTGCAAAATACTTGGTGCCTAAATGTATGTATCTCTTAGGGTACTGCCTAAATAACACTGCTCTTTGCTTTAGTTCTTTCTGGGCATAGAGCCAAATAGCCTCAGTTAACTTGGGTGTCCTATTCATAAAATGAAACAGGAGCTTTTCAAGCTTCAAGGACTACTGATCTTTATTCTCTCCTTCGTTGTTTCTTAATTACACACACACACATGCACACACACACACACACCCAGACACATACTTCATTTTAGCAGTAATACAGCGACATTATGGAAATACTATAGGAGAAAAATCCTACATAATTCTATTACTGTAATATGAGCATATGATTTGAGGTGATTGTACTTTTTTCCTAAAATAATTACATCTTTTAAATATAATATATACATAAGCTTTTTATTTTTCTCCTTTCTAATCATAAGCATTTTTACATGTACCATATAGCTCTCAGCCAATGTGTAAAATGTTATCCATTCTGCTTAGTGTAGTGCATACAGTTTACTTGAACTTATTGG